GGTAGAAAAGGTAAAATTCTTTTTAAAGTTCACCTGCCATCCCATAGAGGGGAGAAATAGAGTTGGCTTATAGCATTCTTTAGAATTTATTTGATTTCCTTCTTCTTCATTCATGTATGAGGAACTAGGCTATTGCTCTATCACTGAGTTACCTGAGAGTTACAAGATTTTTTCAGAAACTGTCCAAACCTGGAATCACTCAGGAACTTAGATATGTGACCTCAGTGTTGATGTAAGACTTCCACTGTAATTCCACTATTTGAATTAAGAGAGCAGATGTACCTTCTGACAAAGTAGAGCAAAACAGAGCTGTGTCTTAACTCTGTTTCTTAAAATGTTTCCCAACAAATTGAAATCACATTTTGATTACTATGTGGCTATTATGCCCTGATAATGCAGCCATTTGATAAAGCAAGGATGACATCATAAAGTGATTGAATGTGTTGGCTATTTAGGCTAAGGAGTATAAGTTTCTTTACCCAAACTCAAATCCTCACCTTTGGCTAAAGAATATTGGCATTCAGAAGATCATTCTTTTTTTTTTTTTTTTTAAAGGCTTTTACTTTATTTTTTTTAAAGTTGTCCATGAACCTTTATTTTATTTATTTATATGTGGTGCTGAGGATCGAACCCAGTGCCTCACACATGCTAGGTCAGTACTCTACCACTGAGCCACAACTCCAGCCCAAGAAGATCATTCTTAAAAATCCTCTTCTTGGCCCTCTTCTCAAGTGCTTTCCCAGCTCTTCTCCAGGTAGAGATGGCATTTTACCCTAACCTGTTCTCTTCTGAAAGGCTGAAATTTTCTTAAGAAGTAAGTCCTATCTAGTGAAAACATGGCTCTGTACCTCACCAAAACACAAGGATGGCAACACTGTAAAATTCTGTCTGGAATGCCATCTCTATTTCAATGCTGTTTAATACCGAATAGAAGCTTGCTGGATAACAAGTTTTGTGAGAAGAGCGCTGCTCTTGAGTACCGCTCTGCCTTGAGTACCACTGCCCAATGGACCGGTATAACTACTGGGAGAGGATCATACCCTTGAGTCTGTTAGGAAAAGAAAATACAAGAGTCACTGTCCTAATTCCTTGAGCAGTGCTTCTAGATTTTAAAATGTATCTTAAATACTCAAGAAAAAATATTTTTTTAAGACACTATGGTTAAAGTAATGTTTCCTTGATCATACCTCCCAATTTCACTTTCTATACCCCAGAGTCTTCTCCAGAAGATGGCACTATTAAAAGACCACCAAGTGACATTTTGGATACCTTTTCTATTTATTTTTATAAATATGTAAATAACTATGGGTTATATTTTCTGGTATGATGCCACGTGATTTTTTTACATCTTTTTTTATTATTCAATGTCTCTAAGTACCTATCTCATGTTTTAAAATACTACAAATTGTTCAGATTATGGATGAACCATTGTTTATATAGCCGCTCTCCCATTAAAGACATTTTCCACCTTAAGTGAGTAATCCTATAATTAGAATATATAAAACAAAATTTATACTTGATCTGCTCCTCAATTAACCTGTAACAACAGAAAGCATACTAATTTGCTATATAGTAATCTGGGCAAATTGTCCACTTGTGTCTTGTTAAAATACTTTGTGCCTTAGTTCCTTTATTTGTAAAATAGGAATAAAAATGGCATCCATCTCATGAAGTCATGGGAAGGATTAAGTGACTTAATGCACATAGTGCTCTCATCAGTGCCTGGCAAGTCTTGGGTGCTACGTAAGTACTTGCTGTCCATTGAAAGCACTGTGCTTGCACCATACCATATGGGTTTCTTAGAATTACTTTAGCCCCTCTTATCCATCAGCCTTAGACATATTTTGTGAGCATCATACAAAAGCAATGCTTTTTACTAGGCTGTGTTTACTTTAAAGTTGTCTTCATGGAAGTTGTGGATCCAGTTTGTTTTGAAAACAGAAGTGGTTTCTCTCTTGCCCAGGAATAAGTTGTCTCTCCTAAGCAGTTTCATTTTCCCTTACTGATCCATGTGTCTTTTAACTGACCATGTTCTCTTCTATTGGCACCAGAGTGAATCCAGATTTTTGATCCATTTCTAGCATATGATATGAATTTTGGGGCATACATTTTGCCTCTTAACTGATGATTCTAACTTGCTTTCTTAACCTTATTTGGGGGTCAGTTATTACAAATGGCTGACCTTCTGGAAGTTTGGATGGGTTGACCTTTTATTATAACGAGGGACTGTTTTGAATGAGTTTTATTATCAGTTCAGGTAGTAGCTACTGTTCCAGCTGCCTCCACACACATGGAGGTCAGGGGGGCAAAGCAGGGAAAGAGAGAGGACTTGTGAACCCCTACTTTCATTGGACACAGAGTGCTATCCAAACTGATTTTCCATGGGGAACTTTAATTAGTGAGTTTAAAGAAACAGGCAGAAGGTTCAAGAAGTGACTGAGAGGTGGTTACTTTAATTGCAGGCATATGTCTAATGGTCCCTTTAAAGAAAGGACCATTCCTTCCAGCCTGATAAACAGAAGAGATGCTTCTGAGTTGTCTCTGATCTAGCTGGAGCCATTCTGTTGGAATATATTATTGGGAACCGTATTAAGGGTGATTGAACCCTGCTTCTGGTATGAAAAAGTTCAACATGTATTTATATTTTATATTTCTGTTTTATATTGCCAAGACAATATAAAATTATAAGTACTCACTAAAGGAGCATATTGCAAGCCACTTGAATACAGCACAGTGGGTGTGGTGGCTTGCTGGAGTCGTGTAGAAGGATCTACCCTTTTGCTTTCTCCCCATTTCCTACTGGACAAGTTATACCACAGTGCTGGGTGATCCATGAACATGCTGACTTTGGCCCTGGGGTCTGATGTGCAAAGTGTCAGTTGGAGGTCAGTTATTACAAATGGCTGAACTTCTGCCCACTAAAAATCATCATAGTGATTTTTTTTTTAGTTTTAGATGGACACAATACCTTTATTATTTTATTATTTTTATGTGGTGTAAGGATCGAAATAAAGGTCTCACACATGCTAGGCAAGTGCTATACCACTGAGCCACAATCCCAGTCCATCATTGTGAATTCTTTAACAGAGGATTTCCCCTGCTATTAAGAATTTCCTATTTTTCCTTGTCAGGTTCTGAGATAATATAAGTTATGCTGTATCCTTGGATGCTAGGCAGAAAATTTGGCCATGTTAGAGTTCCTGAAATATTAATTAATGTCAAAACAATAAACTGCCCTTGGCAAAAAAGAAGTCATTTGTGATTGTTAAGGCGCTTTGTCTGGGGCATGAAAGAACTTCTATAACAATGGACAAAACTCAAGCTTCAGCAAGGCAGGAATAAAAGGCAGTGGTGTGGCAGCAGGCGCCGTGCGCCATGTGCCATCTAGACAGTGCCTGGCACAGGTGCCCTGGGAAGCGCTCCTGGGCTCAGCCTCCCACAGTTTCTTCAACAAACATCCAATGCTTCTCTCATTAGTGAGATACCAGGGCTTGAATGTGGAATGGTTGGTCCCTATTTCTGCTCTAGAACTGAGAATTACTCTGCCACCTTATCTCAGCTAGGTAGTATCTTGGGGAGGGGTAAGATGACAGGAGGAAGGAGGGGTTCTTTCTCACCGAGAGAGAGGTTGGAAAGCCCACTTGCAATGTTGAAATGCAGAGAAATATGCCAGGACAAGGTGGGCCAACCCTGGGCCTCTCTGTCTTGCCTATTTGCATAATATTGTCTTTCCTCTGGGGTAGAAAATACCTGCTTCATGAATATTGGAGCATTGATGTCATGGACCAGCCCAGATTATGAGGATAATAACTTCCACATTTAGCAATGACATCTACTTTTTCAGACTACCAACCCACTAAATGGCCTATTGTAGGCCCCTGGCTTCAGCCTGTCATTTGATATGGAGGAAGTGTCCACTGGTGGTATTGGGGCCAGTTCAATGCCATTAGCATCTCCTTCTCTCCTCCCTACCTATAACCAGGTCAGACACACCCTAGAAAGTGACAGCTCCTATATCTCTATGCTCAGAACATTTTATAAGATTCTGTCTCTACTCTGCCATTTTACATTCTCTCCCTTTCCTCTGTTTTCTGTAATTTTTGGCTATTTGTATTTCCTGTATTTTCCCTCTGCTTAGCTCTTTAAGATCCTCTATCTCTTATTTAGTTTCTACTCAAGATGTTTCTATGTAGCTTGCTTCTCTCTCTTTCTATGCTACAGAAATATGGTATGCCAACCTGGCTGCCAAAGTCTTAATCAGGGTTAGAATTTCGGTGGGAAGGGATATGTATGTAGAATGATGTTCAGGATGGGCCTCCATGCTGCAAGGTGTGCATGGTCTCTGAAGAATCTTGCTGTGAAAATTGCCAAGATCTGTGTAGGAGTTGTTCCCACACAGTTCCTTAATGAATGGTACCAACTCCCTTGGTCTCAAAGAGCAGACCCTCAATGGATGCAGTGGCAATTCCTGTAATCCCAGCCACTCTGGAGGCTGAGGCAGGAGGATCACAAGTCCAAGGCCAACTTCAGCAAATTAGCAAGGCCTTAAGCAACTTAGTGAAACCCTGTCTCAAAAAATAAAAGGGGCTGGGGATGCAGCTCAGTGGTAAAGTACTCCAGGGTTCAATCCCCAGTACCAACCTAAAAAAGAATAGACCCTCATTGTTGCTTTGACTCTGGCAGGCTGTGCCTTTAGCTGAACCAGACCCAGCACGCCCAGTCAAGCCAAGCACTGCTGGCCTGGAGCTTTGTGGAGGCCTCCAGGCCAAGGGTGAGGTCATCAGGGTGGTTGCACCACTTCCAAGGAACACACCTTTCAGTGGCATGTGGTCTGATCTTCCTTGTAGTAGTTTTGTAATCTTTGGCTTCCTGTTTTGGTAGATGGTTTTGCACATATAATCAATGAAACTGTCTTCACAAATTGCATACACTACACACTCCATTTGAAAGCAGGTAGTGTTTTTCTAGCTTTGTAATTGTATTCTTTCCCCTCTCTTTAGTCCCAGGCAAATCACCATGGTGCTGCTAGTAATGAAACCTACCAGGAACGCTTGGCACGTCTAGAAGGAGATAAGGAGTCCCTCATATTACAGGTGGGTGCTTTTGGATGGAAACCAGTTTACCTGTTACCTGTAGCTCTGTATCTTCCCCAAGCGATAGGGGCTTTCTCTGTTGGAGTATTCCTGCTCCCAGAGTGTATGTTTTTCAAACAGGCTTTTTCTAAAAGCAGAAAGTAACTGAGAGCACAATTTAGCTTACTTGACTTTGGAGGACTGTGATTCATTCATTTATATTATACACCACTAAGCACCTGCCTCTACACACTTGAAGCCTTGTGGCCAGGCTGATGACCTGGTGCGAAGAATGAACAAAATGGGTCCTGTCCTCAGGATCACAGTCTTGTAAGGGAGATGAGATCATCTTCAAATCACTAATAAAATGTCTCTGAGTGATGCAGGCCTCAGAGTAAATGCTAACGGAATCAAGTCCAAAGTGTGTGAAGCTAAATCTAGACTGATCACATTGATGCCAAATCCCCTGGAGCTGGTAACATGGGCTAAGCCTTTGATGGCTTTCTTGCTTCAAACAGAGGAACTCCTAAACTTCCCATAGAGAAAGTGAGCCAAATAAGCTTTTTCACTTCTGAAAACCTGTGTTGGTACTATTGGAAGTTAGATATTCTCACAGGAAGGCTATTACTGAAGCAGGAACTCTGCTGTGTTAGCCTCAAATACATAAATCAATTTAGCAAGGTTTGAGGTCTGGTATGCATCAGATGTTAATTGACAATTGGAGAATATAAAGATTAATATCCTAATCATAGCTCCTTAAAAAGCTTGAAGGGTGATGAATAAGACTGACGGTGGAATAGAGGAGGAGATTTGCACCCTACTTTTGTTCTTTTTACTTCAATGATTTTAAAATCACTCATTCATTATAAAATAATTGAGTATCTACAACTCATCTGTCAGATACTGGTTTTAGGTGCTGGGTATACAACAGTGAACAAAATAGATCAAGTCCCAATTCTTGTAGAGAAAGAGAGAGAGGCAGGGAGTAGGATGGGGTAGGGAGAGGACAGTAATAAACAAACCAATAAATAAAATATTTCTGGTGGTGATAAGTATTCAGGAGGAAAGTGAAGCCAGATAAGGAAGTTAGGGAAGGTCTCCGTGTCAGGAGGAAGCTAAGAGGGGAGCTGTGCTGATACTTGGAGAAGAACATTCCAGCAGAGGCAGTAGTCAGTCCAGCCCACACACTGAGGCAGGAGCATGCTTAGTGTGCAGAAAGAACAGCAAGGGCCATCATGTCTACAGTCCCTACTTTGAAGAAGTAGGGAGCCACCTGAGAGTAGCATGGCCAGATTTTACTGCACAGATGTTTTGAAGAATGTCTACTTTGAAACTCCCTCCTAATGACATGATTAATAAAGAAGTATTCAATTTAGAATTTTGTAGTAAATAGTATGAAATTGCAAACTTTTGAACTGGGACCCTTTGTGATTGAAATAACACGTTTCTATTTAGAGAGGATTATAATTTAATAAAGAAGTCCTGTGTCAAAATGCTGTTACATTCATTTTTTTAAAAATTTCAAATTCTTGAATAATCCCTGTTTAGATAATCTTAACACAGTTGGGAAGCTACTTACCAGGAAGCAGAAGTTGACCCCAGTGGTTTCTAGGCAAGCTTGTAGACAGACTCTCAAAGCAGCTTTTACATGCTCGCTCCTGTTCCTGTTCCTTGGGGGCCTCTGGAGTTGGTTAGACAGATCCTCAGTGGGGTATAGCCTCTTGCTTAACTCCCACAGCAGTTTAGCCAGACTGAATTAATTTGAGTCCTTGGTACAGGATGTGTTCCTATTTATTTTTCTATTCATAGAACACAAGACAAACATACATAACAAAATAGTTTGCTTCTAGGATTAATGAAAAGCAAAATCTTTGTCTAAATTATAATTCCTTTAAGGCAAAGATTTTCATCCCCTCACCCCCTTTTGTATCCCTCTTTACCTAATATTATGCCCAGTATGTAGAAAGGGTTCAAAATATATTTGTCTTTATTGAATGAAGGTTACATTGTAGGATCTTTATGTGTTTTGTGTTTATTTTCTACACCTCACCATTCATAATACGTGTAGAAGTCTCAAGATACCTTTAGTCTTATGTGCAGCTGAACCATGAGCTATAGAATTCTGAAGACTATATATTATTCCTCAGGGTATCACTAGCACATGGCCCCAAGGCATAGTGTAGACATATAGGTGTTAATCCTCATAATGGGATTAACCATAAAACATCCTTTCTAAACGAGAACTCTTGAGTCCCAGAAAGCAGAACCAATCCCCCAGAATCCTACTCTTTTGAAAGTGGAATTAGTAGTTGAAATGGGTACCAACAGTATTGAACAAGGATAAAAAACAAGCAACAAAAACACAAAAAAGGTTTATTGTTTAATATGGGTCTAGTTGACAGAAGGAGCCCAATTTTTTAATTAAAATTGAAATATTAGCAAACCATGCATCAATGTCAGGAATATGTTCCAATAATTCATTCATTATTTGGGAACATAAACATGGAAGGGTTAAAGCCTGTTAGTTTAGATTCATTTCTTTTTAAATGGAAACTTTCTAAGTCGTACAGTTTATTTAAACACTCATAAATTAACTCACATTATCTCTTTCATGCTCCATCTATCATTCCATTATAGACTGAGAAATAATTTAGAATAATCTATTTGTGAACAACAATGACTCCACCCAAAAAGTATTACCAACTATTGATTTCTTTGCTTTTGGGAGGCCACCTATTCTCTTATTCATCTTCCTGATTTGGGGTATCTCCTAATGAAAGAAAGAAAGAAAGGAAGGAAGGAAAAGAAAGAGAAGACTATGAAAACCCTCACAGTATGTATTTAGGGCATAATTTAAATAACTTATTATAAGTGGGTTTTTATTAATGTTTTCCATAGAGAATCTCAGGGTTCCTCAGAAAAATGACTCTTTTCTACCACATATGTGCAGTGTGGCTTCTGTATATGAATGACTTAAAGTCATGTTTTGGCCTGTGAAGCACAAAAACCTCTCTGGAGCCAAGTTTTGTCAGTGCTAATACATGCCCTTTGTGTCCCACATTCCTTAATTACTTCAAAACACTTGCCTGATAGGTGAGTAGTCCTCACACCCTTATGAGAGAGGTTAGGTCATTGGTTGGTTTCCATAGAGGTTTGGATTGCTCTTCCACATGAGGTGGCAGAAGCTCTGGCAAGCCAGCTGAGATATGCCTTGAGGTCGCACTGCTCTGTTAGAGGAATCAGGAACAGGAGTCCAACCTAGAGGCAGCTCTCCTGGCTGTTGGGTGCTTTTCTCTGGAGTCTGTCAAGAGCAGGAATGTGACCAACATCGTATGGGCATTGACCAAGACTACCTGGTAAGGTAAGAACTAGTGTTGCCTTCATCCAGGACACTTCCCCCACCTTCTACTCACCTAAGAGAAAAGCTGTTCCTCCTCACACATGAGTCAGTGTTGCACTTTCACTGCTCATACTCAGTGGGGAAACTTTGCTCTCATACAGTCCCTGCCACTCTACTGTTTGGTGCTTTATTTCCTGGAACAGGTGAGCGTTCTCACAGACCAAGTGGAAGCCCAAGGAGAGAAGATTCGGGACTTAGAAGTGTGTCTGGAAGGACACCAGGTGAAACTCAATGCTGCTGAAGAAATGCTTCAACAGGTAAGGTCAGGTGGGGTGGAAGGGCACTGGGCTTGAATCAGCTCCTGTGTTAAAGCCCCCTTCTGTGCTCTGCTTACTTTCCCAGCCCGCCTGGAGGTAGAACTGGCTGCTCAGTGTGCAGTGTTTAGACAGTAGGTGAAACCAGCCCGAGAGTGAGGGTGGAGAAGGGCCAGCCTGAGAGGAATAACCTGCTGAGCTGGTTAGACGGATTCCTAGGCCACACTTTCTCTAGGCCTGGTGCTGAGAGCTCCACTGGCTGTGTCACCCTGCTCTTATCACAGGAACCACAGTTTGACTGCTAGTGGCACCTGGGTTTTAGAATGTCAATTTGTCAGCTTATTTTCTGCTCTTTTGCCACTCTCATTTTACTCCCTCTCACTCTGTGGTTTTCTTCGATACAAATCATTACATGAAGAGCATCTTAATATAATTTAATAGGCATCAAAATGAAAAAAAAATTTAGCTGCTTCCCTAATGTTCAAATAATGTCCTTTCCTTCTTTTCTTTTGGATGTGTTCATTATGCGTTCACATAATTTACAAAGCCATGATCATACAGGGATACAATTCTGCTCTCAGGTTTTGTGTGATTAATAGAATATGGTGACTTTTTTCCATTTTAAAACTTTTGCTGTATAGTCATTGTTACTGTCATTTACAATATGATTTTTTTTAGTGAAACTATCATATTTGATGTAACCATTCTTTTCCTGAATAGGTTTACTTTATTGTAAAATGAGCTGAAGTTATTATAACTTTAGGTGCTCAACTTTAGATGCTAATTAGATTTTTATTTTTTATTTTTTGGTTTTTTTTTTTAAAGAGAAAGAGAGAGAGAGAGAGAATCTTAATATTTATTTTTTAGTTCTTGGAGGACACACCATCTTTGTTTTTTGTATGTAGTGCTGAGGATCGAACCCGGGCCGCACGCATGCCATGCAAGCTCGCTACCGCTTGAGCCACATCCCCAGCCTGAGATTTTTAAATTAAACTATTAACATTAACTTAAATTATTCTTGAATTTTCAGTTTTTTTTTAAATTAAACCATTCGTGAAGTTTATGTGTATATGCTTTGTAACTCCCAAATGGTACTTGGCATATAAAAGGTGCTAACCATTTCTTCAAAGAACAAAAATCATTCCTTTAAAATGAGTGGATTCAATTAGGTAACTGCTTATAAACTTTCCCTCAAGCTCCAACATTTTTTTATTGTTGTGATCAGCCTAAAATTAAAATGTTTCTTGACAGTATAGTAATAAATATAGGCTTTGCATTTTACCTTTGGTCTTAAAATAAAACACCTTAATTCCAGAGTTTCATTTGAAGAACTTAAAGAAAAAAAGGGGGGGGGGGGAGTCAGTATTTTTATGCATATGTCTTCATAAAAACTGTGTTAACAACTCAGAGATTGTTGTTAGTTTATCTTTTCATAACTGATTAATAAGTTACCCTGTTGTTGGCTCTATTTGGCTTTCTTTTTAGATTCATATGTCATTTCTCTTGTTTACAATATTCCCTGAAAATCTGAGTAGCAATAGGAGTCAATTCTTTTGTTGTTGTTGTCATGAATGTTTCTTTTGAAGACTCAGGAAGGAAAATAGTGTGATGGGAAAAATCTAAAATGTCAAGGGAGCATTTTCATGAAGAGTGCATAAAACATCGCACTAGATTATATTTTCAAGTCTGCACAAGTGTGGTTTTGAGATGGAAAGGATAAGGGAGGAAGATGATGGAGTGTTGTGAATAATCCAAAAAGAAACCACAAAAATTTGAGTGCAGAAGGGAACACGTGAGAAAAATGTCAGAAGGTTGATATTTCAGGAACGTGGTGTCTGGTGAGTAATCACATAATCAGAAGTCAGAGAATGAATGCATTGTAGTGCCTGAGTTATCTGCCTGGCTGCCCTGGCTTCTCTTCTGGACTGTTCTACATCTCTCTTTGGCTGTGTTTCTGCTCCATCCTCAGAGTCTCTGTGTCAAGGAGTCTGATGTAGGTGCCCAGCACCACATGGAGAGTGTCTGGCATTACCCCCTGGATGGCATTTTAGACTTTTTAAAAAGTCTTAAGATCAATTACCCTTTGTATCTGTTTATTCTAGATCTTCTTTCTTGTGTGTAATGAGTTGAGATAATTTGCATGTACCATACATAGAGGTGGATGTTGTGACCTGGTATATTTGGAAATATGGTAGCTCTTTATTTGCCACTTTTGGGTTTTAAGATCTTCCTGAGCTTGACCAAGTTATTTTTGTGCCCATAAGGTTTCATTGTGTTCTCTCAATCTTTCAAATGTAAAATTTCTTGACACATTGTTTGTTTAAGACATGGGACACACTTGAGCATCTCAAGTTTTTGCACATGCTATTGCTTTCCTGAAATCTGCTTGATGCTATCTGTATAGACACTTGATTCTTGTATCACAGCACTGATGTAATGCCATCTACAGCTTATAGTATTTACATGTTCTCTGAACTGGGGGCAGGCAGAGACCTGTTCAAATTGGCAGAGATATCCTAAGCTGCAGGGCTCTTGGCTTCTGGTATTAGGAGCAGGAATGACTCATGGCCTAGAGGCAGAGAATGGAGGCAAACAATTGCCTCCTTCTGCTAGCCTTAGACCATTCCTGCCCTGATCCAAGCCTGGCTTATCTGAACGAGACCCTTTTCCTGTCTCCAGTGGGTCCTTCTGACTGCCTGCAGACACAGTGCATCCCTAGGGATGCTGCTTCTGATACTCTGCACATTGAATGCATCCTAATGGTGGCAATTATTATTCAATTCCAGTTGACTGCCTGTATGAGCTGCATAATGCTAGATAGTCCTATTTTTCACAAAAAGTCTTGAATTAAAGATTTAAAAGTATTTATTTTTCTATATTGCCAACTAATTTAAAATGTCATGCGAATCAGAGTATACATCTATAGGTCAAGACTAGCCTGCAAGCCTCTAATCTGAAGTCTACTCTAGACTTTGTTCCCATTTCTGACTGAAATATCACTGGGGGACTTAAAGAACCCCAAATAAACATAGCCCAGATTCTGTCCTCAGGCTCCAGCAAGCCCATCCCACAGCTTGCTCTCATACCCAATGTCAACCTCCTTCAGGAGGCCAAGAGGAAGAGTTATCTCCCACCCAACTCATGAGCCAGGCACCTCTCAGCCTAGCCCAACTCAGTCCTTGCTTATTGTTCATCTCTCAGCTCCCAGCTGTTTTCATCTGTATGTGAACTCATTGAACCTCCAGAAGGAGAGAACATGAAGACCCCCATCTTGGGATTAGACAGGCAAACCAGAAACAGAGAGTCAGCACAGGAGCAGGTCCATATGAGCAGAACATAGACTGGGGACACATTTGAGCACACAATAATATTTCTTATCTGCGACCCTCTGCTGGGTGCAGGGTGGGAAGGGAGACGCTCTGAGTACCCCTGGGAACTGCCTGAAGAAGTAGCTTCTTCAAATATGGTCTCAGACTCATTGAGCATGTCTGGCTTTTCCAGGAAACTTTCCCCATTAAGACAAGACATTTCTCAGGAAGTGTATACATAGATCTTTAAACGAGGGACAACCTGAGTCAGCTTCATTGATCTGGAACTGTCTGGGCCTGGATATAGAGCTCTGAAGGTGCTCCCATCAAGAGTTAATGGGGACTGTCTCTGGTTCTTGAGCACATCTGCACATTTACCCAGCTACATAATGAAGCCATCTGAACCCAGGGCCCAGAATTGCACCCCAGGAATATAGCCTGAGTCAGTGACTTCCTCATGATTTGCTCAGACTGTGCTGGTGACAAAATCTCTATATCAGGAAAAGCTCCTCTGGGTCTGTTGGTGTATTTCAGGCCACATGGCTTTTTCTAAAGTGGCCTCTGTGGATTTTCTGAGATCTGGTTCATTTCTGCACATTGAGCTTCTTTGCCTTGATCACTGACCCTTCTCCAGAGGAGCATGATCTCAGGGAAGAAGCTCATGGCACCTAGTGGATCAGAGGTTTTACATAGGGCGTCAGCCACAGAGAAATTTTTCCCAGAGACTGGCTATTTACAGATATAATTAACATCAAGAACAGAAGTGATATACAGTGCCAAAAGGAAAACCTCCATTTCTTTGTGAAGATACTACCCTACTGCTATGGGAAACCCTGGGTGACAACAGCCTTTGTTTCAGGTCTCCCACCTGACCCAGAGTTTCTGGGTTTGGTCAGCTTTATTGCTTTGGATGCCTTTTAGGTGAAGCATGCAGAGTGACAGTGTAGGGGATTAGGAGTCAGTGGACATGAGCTTCTATAACTAACTACTGGCAGTTGGTTTGGGAAGGTTGATGGACATGTTTTACTTACATGTTATAATATGGACTTTTCTTACAGGATATAATATGGACTCTACGTCATCCAACTCTACTACCACCTAAAATTGTAAAATTATTCTTGTGTTTTAAAAATTCACTATCATACAAATGGCCTGTATAAGTTAAGATGTTGAGCAGGGGGTTTGGGGGCCTAGGACACTTGATCAGTGCCTGGCTAGTAAAAAGGTATTTCTGTCTCAGAGAATATTAAACAGGTCCATGTATATGATCTGGAAGAAGCACAAATCCATTCAAGGAGGTGAGACACTGAGTCATGTGTGAAGAAAGCGGGCATTTCCCAAATATTCTCTAGAATTCCCTCTGGGAGATTCATGAGGCACAAATAACTAGTTTTTTCATGTTTATCTTGTTTGATGTTGAGCGTCTTAGACCACAGCAAGGAGTGATACATTAACCTCTTTTTATAGATAAGACTGAGGTTCAGCGAGATGGTCTAGTTAGTGGGGACTGAATCTGGACTCAAACTTTACTGTAAGCACTTCTTCTCTGCACAGTGTTACTCATGATCCAGGCTTCCTGGCAAGACTCAGGTCGTTTGCATCAAAGGGCAAAGGAACATATTTTTTTCTTACATGTCTTTCCATGGCCCATTATTTCATTCTAGTTTCAGATTGCCAGTCTGGTTGTAGTCCTCT